GTGTTGCGGGAAGCCCGAGGGAGCCGCGACGCTCTCCCTCTCCTGGGAGCACTGGTGACCAGCGGGCACGGGGGGAATGCAGGGCATGTGCTGGCAGCAGAAAGCACAGGGTGCTCATACGCACACACGGATGGGACCCCTGCAACCCCAAGTGAGGACGTCCCCGTCCCCACGGCAAGGCGCCAGTCCCCGTTCCCTCTGTCCCACAGCCTCTCTGGGGCGGCTGGCTCAGGCGCCTGGCCCAAGGACGTGGGTGTGCTGGCCCTGGAGGTGTACTTCCCTGCGCAGTACGTGGAGCAGACGGAGCTGGAGCGCTTTGATGGCGTGGAGGCCGGCAAGTACACGCGGGGCCTGGGCCAGCAGCAGATGGGCTTCTGCGCCGCCCACGAGGACATCAACTCGCTGTGCCTGACCGTGGTGCAGCGACTGGTGGAGCGTGCCGGCCTCTCCTGGGACGCCATTGGCCGCCTCGAGGTGGGCACGGAGACCGTCGTCGACAAGTCCAAGGCCGTCAAGACCGTCCTCATGGAGCTCTTCCGCGAGTCGGGCAACACCGACGTGGAGGGCATCGACACCACCAACGCCTGCTACGGCGGCACAGCCTCGCTCTTCAACGCCGCCGACTGGGTTGAGTCCAGCGCCTGGGATGGTGGGTTGCCGACCTTGGGGATGGCACGAGTGCCATGGGATGCCTGAGGTGCCCAAAACCCCACAATGCCCCTGCAAAGCCCCGTGCCCCTCCAGGCTACCACACTCAGTGGTCCCTGGGCCTTGTCCCTGCTGGCTGCCACGGCGGCCCAAAGATGAGGGTGATGATGGGTTGTGTGGGAGCTGCATGTGCGCACTGACGGCCCTGGTGCCCTCTCCTAGGCCGCTACGCCGTGGTGGTGTGCGGGGACATCGCTGTGTACGCCACGGGGAACGCGCGCCCCACGGGGGGTGCTGGCGCCATCGCCATGCTGGTGGGACCCAACGCGCCCCTTGCGCTGGAGAGAGGCGGGTGCCGCGGGCCCGCGCAGCCCCC